TTTTAAAAAAAAAAAAAAAAAAAAAAATATTCTTCTCTTCAGTACTTAATATCAAGTAGGTGATTATTGATTAATAAGCTCTACTGATCTAAAAACAACAAAAATCCAGTTTTCTATAGTCGAAGTACAAGGAATATGGAAGCATAGCACAAGGGAAGGCATACCTATCGTTGTTATCAGTTTGTACACTGCCAAGCCTTTTGATTATTTCCATTCCCTTACAAACTCTTCCAAAGATGGAGTGCTTCCCTGGAAATAGAGAAGATGGATTGAAGAAATATCAGTATTTAACAGACTTCCACAGAGACATGTTACGATTAAATTTCAGGAGTTCATATAGATTCAATTGGAAACTCGTTGAAAAGCATCCAATGAACCCATCCGATTAGTGATGGATTCAAAAAGCTTAAATAGTAGTACAAAACCCAACACTTGAAACATTGAGGCAGTTCATAAAGTATTTAAAGTTGGCAGAACTCAAGTACTTCATTCTTCTGAACTCAAACGTTCCAAAATGTTCTTGCAACCCGTAACATAGATTCGTCATTTGCAAATATAAAGCATGTGTTACATCCAAAATCAACTAGAGTCATGAAATTAGTCGGGAGTAAATGCAAAAAAGAGACCCGTATCGTTTATTTTCTTTCTTACTCATTGAAGCAAGCCATTTTTACATCATTTCCTAGTGAAATGCATATTAATTGATTGACATAACTTTAAGAAGAGTACAAGAATAGCTAGAACTGTGCTTACCATCTAAGGATGGGCAAGGGGCAAGAGTGATGAAGAATTGGCTTCCATTTGTATTAGGACCAGCGTTTGCCATTGATAGAATACCAGCTCCAGTATGCTTCAACTCTGGCTTTATTTCATCCTCAAATTTCTTCCTGAAACACATCAACACGTCAAGAAAACCCAATTAGTAAATACCTTGAAATAAATACTCAAGGACCTCAGAATTCAACTCAAGTACTCAATCGTGTGAAGACAGCGAGAGAACCGCATGATAAAATGAAGAACACATACTTGCAACTAAAACTATTGATATACAATAAAAATAAAACGCATACCCATAAATAGATTCCCCACCCCGTCCAGTTCCTGTGGGATCTCCACCTTGCACTATAAAATCCTACACGAAATGACCAAACCCCATGGAGTAAAAGACTGCTTAAGCCTTCAAGAGATCAACCTGCAGCTAAACAACCACCACTAAAGGAGAGACAAACCTTAATAATCCGGTGAAATTTGACATTGTCATAATAACCTCGCCGAGAAAGCTCAATGAAGTTTCTACATGTCCTCGGTGCGTGTTTGAAGTAAAGCTATAATCCAGCATCAACAGCACAACATTTTATGAGCTTAATTTATTAATTCTCGGTTTTGCACCAAAGAAAAACTGAATTCCACAAACAAGCAACTAGAAAGAGTAAAACTCAATTCAAACTTAGCAGGACGAGAAGCTAAACGAAGAACTAAATAAATGAGAAGCGAAAGAGTACCTCGACGGTGAAAGAACCCATGGAAGTCTCCAGAGTAACCTCCGGCGGCCCTCCTTCAGCGCTTGCCCACATCGTCGCTTCACAGAAAAATCACAGAAACTTTTTCGCGGGGGAAGGAAGAAGTAAACACAACGGAGCCTATTGGGCCTCTAATGAACTAGGCCCAATAAAAACCCGACTCGTTTCATTACATAATATACAAAATAAAATATAATCAATTGATTTTATTAAACCATAAAATATTTTTAATTTGTAATGCAAATTGCGAGTTTTATTAATATTTCAATCTAAGCTTCAAAAAAAATTTGTATACCTTACTAATTGTGAAGGGCATTGGACCGTAAATGAGACCGATCAGACTTCCGGAGCCTCCAAATAATTCATCCCGCGTGCCGGAGATCTTCGATGGCGGCGTCTACGGCGCCATCAGGAGGGCCGTCGTGATCGGAAATGGCTTCCCCGGCGCGGAGAGCCAGTGCCTGGGTTTGGTTCGAGCTCTCGGCCTTTCAGGTCGGCACTCTCTTTACGTGAGTATATTGTTGTTTTTCTCAATCGTTTATATAAACTATGCCTTTCCCAAATCAATTTTTTGGTGGTCACCCACTTCCTTAATCAAGTTTGATCATAATAGACCAGTTAATTCAATTAACTTCAGAGTTATGTGCACTCTCGATGTGTGTTTTATTTATTCGTGTCACGAATGCATATGAACAGTTGGGTTTGATTTTGCGTGCAAGCTTTATAACTCAGCTTATTTGAAGGATTCATCGGCTGTAATTCGTCTATGTTTGCTGTGCAGCGGGTTATGAGGCCAAGGGGAGGGATCAATAGGTGGCTTCATTGGCTCCCAGTTTCTGTCCACAAGAAATTGGACATTTTTATCAGGCAAATTTTTGGAATGCCTTTGCTGACCAAGAAAAGTGGTAATGCTTGCTAATTCTTCACAATTCACTAGTAAATTATGTCGAGATTTGGTTATGAAGTGAACTGCTTATAAAAACGATTCTTCGAAAGTGAAGCTGATATAGGGGTTAGTATCATAGCCTTCCTTGTTGTATGCTAGTGATTTTGGTGTTTGAAAATTGTGCCTATTTTCTCACTGCGGTTGTCATATTTCCTAAAAGACAAATAAAAATTATCATAACATACCATAGTAGTCAAAACAAGAAATGGTACCACTGGCTTTGAAGGACACGGTGGGAAGAAAGCAGCTCTAGCCTCTGTCTGGCCGATCATTCCTCTAGCATTTGAATAAAAACTCTCTAAAACGTCAAGAATCTAAGAGTACATTTGAATTCATAGCCAAACTCTAAAAAACAAGTTTTTAAAAACCATTTTCTTTGTAGTTTTCAAAACATGGTCTTGGATTTTGAAAACACTCATAACAAAACAAACAAACTCATAGATAGAAATGGCGTTTGTAAGCTTAATTTTTAAAAACTAAATGATTATCAAACACGGCCGGAGTAACTATTCTGTCAATTTGTAAGTCATCGACTGAATGAGTAAAATAGGGGTTCAGAGGCTGATGTAAACTATATATGAATAAATTTTCCTAACTACAAGAAAATATAGCAATTGTTTGGACTTGATCCTTTAGTTATCCTACGTCGGACTCTAGAAGGTATTCCTGATGGAATTGGTATTTGCAGGCTTATCACACGTTTTAGAAGCTGATGCAAAGCAAATTGCAAAAGTGGCACGTGAAACATTTGATAAGTACGTTCATACATTCTTTCTAATGGCATGTTAGAAAAATGGGGTTACATACAATCCATTTCAATGGTCTCTAGAGGTTCTGAACCCTTTGCCTGTTGGTAAATTCAATGTCTGGACCGACATTTCCAACTCTTGAGGTTATGAGTACTGTTCCTCAAATAAAAATCTGAATCCTTGATCATATATTTAGTTTGACAACTTTGGGATATACTCCCAGTAGAGTGGTTTTACTAAATTAAATGTTGTTGATTAGCTCCAAAGGCTAAGAAGAGAGAGAGTTAATATTGTAATTGTTTGCTGTAATCTGTATATTTTGTGTCTGGTGGTGGCTTTTCTTAATTTTTTTTAGATGAAACTACTAAAATTACAGCTAATTCCTGATCAGATGCAGGGCTGTCCTCTAATTACTTCACTTCATGTGCTACTATATCATTGTTAGGGATGGCCCATTGCTTGTAATCGCATCTGGCAGAGATACCATTTCAGTTGCTAGCTCGATTAAAAGGTTTGCTCCAGAAAATGTTTTTGTTGTCCAGGTGAAGCCCCTTTCTCTGTATAATTGTTGAGATTGTCAGGTCTGAACTTATTTTTGTCTATCTGGAGTCTTAATCTTTATGCCTTTTACCATTAATCAGGTGCTTAAAATCTTTATGTGTTGCTTCAGATTCAACATCCGAGGTCCCGGTTAGATAGATTTGATTTGGTAATTGCTCCTCGTCACGATTATTACTCGTTGACTCCTCAAGCACAACAACAGATTCCTTGGTTGCTTCGCCGGTGGATTACGCCTTGTGAACCTCCTGGAAAAAATGTGGTAAGTCTTAGTTCCGCATATATGCTTGATGCCATAGCACACTGAAAAACAATGACAATTATTGATTGTTGCATTTGTTCATCATTTGGAACCTTGATCCACAGGTTCTTACGGTTGGAGCTCTTCATCAGGCTGATTTTGCTGCACTTAGGTGTGCAGCTTCTACATGGCATGATGAATTGGCTTATCTTCCAAAACCACTGCTCGTTGTTAATATTGGAGGCCCATCAAGTAATTTTTTTACTTCTCGTTTTAGAAAAATATGATAATGGTTGTTGACCAAGATCATGTGCAAATCTTTCTTGGAATCACTTCAAATTGTGTGATTTTTTTCCCTTTTCAAATCTAAACTGTTATTGTATTGATATTATTATCACCCACTCTTCTTTTGATAGATTAACCCTACCTTGCATCTATATGATCTATACAGGCAATTGTCGCTATGGTGTCGATCTTGCAAAGCAGTTAGCTACTATGCTGCAAAACGTTCTTTGGAGCTGTGGAAGTGTTAGGATCTCATTTTCACGTCGAACTCCAGAGAAGGTGTCCATCGATACCCGATCACTTGATTTATATTTTATTTTATGTAACGATCTAAGCCCACCGCTAGCACATATTGTTCTCTTTGGGCTTTCCCTCAAGGTTTTTAAAACGCTTCTACTAGGGAGAGGTTTTCACACCCTTATAATGAATGTTTTGTTCTCCTCCCCAATTGAGGTGGGATCTCATAATCCACCCCTTTTCGGAGCCCATCGTCCTCCCTGGCACATCGCCCGGTGTCTAGCTTTCTGATACCATTTGTAACAGCCCAAACCCACCGCTAGCAGATATTATCCTCGTTGGGCTTTCCCTCAAAGTCTTTACAACGCGTCTACTAGGGAGAGGTTTTCACGCCCTTATAAATAATGTTTCGTTCTCCTCCCCAACCGACGTGGGATTTCACATTTTATTTATTTGTTTTTGGATTCGATGATCATATTTCCTGGTATGACGTCAGATATCCAAACTCTTGGTGGAAGAATTCAGCACCCATCCTAAAGTCTTCATTTGGGATGGTGAAGGTACCTCAGTTGCCTTGTTTTTCTAAAACATATATGATAATTACTATGTATTATAGAACCTTGTCTAAGATATTTGTTCATATTATGTTACATAGGACCAAATCCGCATCTCGGGCATCTAGCGTGGGCTGACGCTTTTGTAATAACAGCAGACTCAGTTAGTATGTTGAGTGAGGCTTGCAGTACTGGGTATGTTTAAAGTACGAATTGCACACTTGTAACTAATATGGTAGAACACCATTCACGTTGTTCATCTGTTTATCTGACATGTCTGTAATCTCGGAAGGAAACCCGTCTACGTGATTGGAGCTGACCGATGCACGTGGAAGTTTGCCGACTTCCAGAAGTCCCTCGCCGAACAAGGAGTGGTCAGGCCGTTCACCGGTAAAGAAGTTGTAAGTCCAGTTATCTTCCTTATGTTTTCAGGATTCATGCAGTAAACTAAAGCACTGTCTGTAACTAAATTTGACAATCCTATGGTTTCCTTTTGATCATTATTACTTAGACATTGCAGATCAAACCTTTCCTGATAGATTGATCTCTTGATTCACAGATATCGGAAAGTTGGAGCTACTCTCCCCTCAACGACACTGCAGACGCTGCAAATCGGGTAAATTCGGCACTCGCTGCACACGGGTGGAGAATTAATACAATGACTAAAGCAACTTAGGACCTAGCCTAACAGTAGTTTTCCATATACCTGCCTGGAATTTTTCCCATCTCTAGGCCGTTTTTTATACATTCGTTCATTTGATAGGTGACCCATTCTTTCGGGTTCTCGTGTCGAGTAAGAGTAACATTTCTCGCTTCTGTTCGACTTTTCTCCAGAGCATCTGAACAAACACAGCTACAAATTTGTTTACAGGATAATCTAGCATTGTAATGTCCTTGACCTGTGGTTACTGAAACTTTATATTGAATGGGTTATTGTTCTTAGCTGTCCATTCCAATAAGCAGTTTTTTATATTTATATTGAAACTTTATATTTAATATTTGAACTTTTTTTTGGTATTAAAATATGGTTAGTTTATATTTATTTTTATTTTTTAAAAGCTAAAATCGTTAAATTTAATAATATTTTATATTTTAAAAATAACCACTCCTAATTTAGCCTTATAATTTAACAAAAAATTTTACAAACTCTTTTATTTCGTCTCATTACCAAGGCCGATTCCGTGTTGGGGTTCCAATGGGCTCGGCCCAGAATGTGGCAGAATGGGCTGTCCACGTCGCTACTCCAGTCAGTCAAGCCTCCGGCGGCCGTTCTTTAACCCCCGCGCTCTCGACACGAAGATGAACGCTTAGTGTCACTTTGATACTACTACCATGTCGGCGACCATAAAAGCGACGGCAATATCCTTCAATCGTCGTGTTCTTCCCCCTATATTTCCTCCGCCGTCTCGTCTCGTCTCTTTTAGAGGCATAGCTTCGAAGCTTTTTGTTGGTGGTAAGCCAAACGTTCCTCCTCTCTATTCTTCTGTTCATTTTCCGATTCATCGTGTCCATCTAACGTTGCAGTCTGCGTTTCAGAACTGAAATCACATTTTTTGCCGCGAATTTTATTTTTATGCTCATTCACCGTTCCTCTGTTTCTGTGAATTGTGCTAACTTTGTATGATTGAACTAAGCTCTCTGTGATGTTCATACGTTTAGTTTTATGAAATGTGAACTTTGTTTTAATGTTACAAGTGAAAATTTGACTGTCTGAATGTGAGCTCGTGCTAATTTACTTCTGGAAACCGCGATCGTGGAAAACTTTGGCCTCTGGGGAGAACTTGTTGTATTGATATTAATTTTAAAATTTGATATCTGTTCTATATATTGTAAAGGATAAACATCGAATGATTTGCATACTTTCTCTTAATGTTGATGTTAAAGATCAAAATGCTGGTTAGATATGAAACGAATATACAGAATTTGTAAAATGTTTCATCCTTGATCTTAGCCTACATTTACTTATGGAGAGACAAAAAATAGCAGAACTTATACATCAGATTTCATTAGTTGAATTAGGAGTCATGATGTCCGCGAGCACCGAGCCAACTTTTGGGAGGTCTTCCTCTTCACCATTCAACATGTTTCTTTTTGGTACTATCCATTGCCCAAAATGGTTAAGTTCCTAAGCCCCAGGTCTATAACATAATGTAATATGAACCTCCCAGGTAGCTTCATCATCCACTAAGAGTGCAGTGTGGCATGTCTTTAATGCTTTTACTTGAATATTTACTTCCAAACCATCTTTATCACTTTCTGTTGGATTTATCTTTAGCAATTATACCAAACAGATTAGTCACTTGCTGTAATCCATGCAGCATCCACGATCATTTTAAAGCTATCGACCCTAACCTCGGAGAAATTGAATATGGAGAGTTTTCGTCGTGTCTAATGCCTTCTCATGGAATACTTTCCAGGTTGTTCAAAATGTATTTCCTGTCAAAATAAAACATTCTTTTGTCACAAAAATTTCCCCACTAATGATACCTCTCTTGTGTTTGCTACAACTTCCTCAGAAACTATCATAGCTTGTTTCCATCTTCCATGAGCTTGAACTCCCTAAATCTTTTTGCTATTGTATTGGAAGACCTATTTTGGTTGCCATTGCTCGTTGTAGTACTTGATCACCAAATCCGGCCATAAATCACCTGAAATAGCTAAAAATGTAGAAGCTCTCTTGAACTCTCGTAAAAAGAAAGCCTATAGAGACCAAGAGTGCATATGCAGCTTTAGCTTTACAAATCTAGGATGTCCAAGGTTCTTAAGCTTAACCATGATTGTGGTTAAACGTTAGCGTGTTCTTGTTCTGGCAAACTGCCACATCAACTTGTTCTGTGATGGGATTAGTGGATTTTGTGGACATGACCCAATATTAATCCCTCTTTTATTGTTAACCTTTGATCTCAAGTTTCTTTCATTTCTAGAAGATTCTTTCATACATCACAAATAAAAAATAAGAAAATCCAAGGGGAGGGTCAACGAACAAGCTTAACTTTCGCTGAAAAGTCAGAACCTCTCCGACTCTGCTTTAGTCATTAATCAGCTGGTGAAGCTAGCCAACCAATGACCCGACTCACTCAGAGAATGGACAAGAAGTATAAAATCCCTGTAAATTGTTTTATTTTTTGGCAGAAATCGAACCAGCGCTAGCGGATCAAGTCACGAAGCACCACATTGATTAATAGATTTGTTTACTGTTCTTGTGAAAAGGAATATAATCATTTGTATATGATAATGCTCTTGAGATTTTTGCTTTTGAATATTTTATCAGTCTATGCATATTATAATTCCTTATTCCATATTGAAATCCTTGTTCTGGAGTATTTTGCTACAGTACTCCCATTCTACACCACGGGCAAAGGACTATCGGAAGCCTTTTCTCGAGACGGTCAGGTTGTGGAAGAAGGCTTCCATCCAGATACTTTAGCTTTCATGTCTTACAATGGCAATTTAGTTTCAAAAAACAATTCTCTCTACTCCAGCCAAAGTTTTGATGGACAGAGCCTCTGTTAAGTCAAAGGGATTTGGATTTGTCACCTTTGCATCTGAAGACGAAGCGCATATTGTACTGACAAAGATGAACGGAAGGTCTGCACTTTCCTCCATCATTACTTTTACATCTTAGAAATGCTAAGTCTAATGTTATTTGTTGCAGCCTTTGAACGGAAGGCTTATTTCTGGGGACTATGTGAAACTGCCTTCCAATTGGCAGAAATCTTATAGCGAGAGGACCTCCTAAAGGAGAAAACTGATAAGTGATTGTTCCGTCATTTATCAGAAAGGAATTAGCTGAACAGGGAGGGAACCCACGTAGTAGCTGTGCATGGAAAGTGTGATTCAGACATGTTCTCTCAGCAATTTGCTTCATGCTAGAGATGTGCTAAAAAGCTTCAGGAAAAAGAGGTCAGCTTGTAGGAATTTTTAAACTTTGTAGAAATTAGATTAACCGACTTTTTTTCTTTAAAAGTTTTAAATTTTTCTTCCCATTTGCTAAGTATCTTATTAACTATAGTTAAACTGACATACAGACATTTATGCATTTTCTTAGTTTGCAGATTGCCATATTGTGGTAGTAATCTTTCTTTTTGCATCCATTAGTCTCTAAGGTTTAAAATAAGTTTTAAGTCTCATTAATGTGACTTCACATGAGGGACGGATGAAAAATTTTTCTTTGTTTACACTCTTTGAAGGGAAAAGAGAGTCATTAGGAAGGCGAGCGAATGGCATCACATGCACGCAATTGTCGCAAGAGAGAGCCTTGGGTGTTAGGGAGCAAATTTTAATTATCATCAAGAATACAAATGATCTTTTTATTTATTATCTATCAAATCAGCATTTTTTGAAATGACGTTACTATATTATTTTTTTTATAAAGAGAATAGTGTTGTAGTCGTAGTTTTATAATATATTTGTAGTTTTATAAGGTTGCTCATAATATAGTTTTTTTTTTTTTTTTTCATAAAGATAATACTAATAGTGTGAATGAATAGTCTTGTAGTTATTTAATTTTATTTAGTTTTAATTTATGATTTAAATAATAAGACAAAGAAGGAAAGTAGCAAACCCAAGAAACCCAAAAGCCAAACACACCATATCTAACGTCCCTTCTCTCCTCAACGTCCTTTCTTTCCTCTCCCTTTTCTTCGCCATAAACTCCTCCAACTTTTTCCTTCCCCTTCTGCCCGTTTTACCCTCCAACGCCCTCTCCAAAATTACTAAACTATCCTTCCCATTCAAATATGTTCCGTCCAGATCCTCCACCTGCAAATTCACTTCCCTCACCTGTAAATTCCCTCCTTCCCATCCTCCGCACGTCACTGCAATCCCGCACTGCACGCATTCCATCGCCGTTCCTCTTTCACCGTCGAGCACGGCTGCGAATCTTACGTGCACCTCCCCGCTCAACCAGTGTCGCTGCACGCTGACCGGCCGGTAGCTCGACAGATTCATCGCTCGCCGTCCGGCTGTGTCGATCATGATCCAGCTCAGAGTCAGATCCTCCGTAAGCTCCCAACATGTATTTCCGTCGCCGATTGGAAATTTAATCGGCGTTTGAACTACGTCCTTAGGATCAAGCATATCGATTCGAAACGGCGTGCATCGGAACCATCCGGAGAGGGTCTCTGTCTCGACGACTTTGCTGAAAACCATCTCTCCCCGGTAGTAGATGTCGACGGCGGAGATCAATTCCGGCGTAAAGTGGTGGCGTCGGCGGCTGCGGCGGCTGTAGGTTGCCGAGGACGGAGAAGAAGAGGTTGAAGTTTCGGAGTGATAAGAAAGACGAGGGAAGGAATCAGAGAAGAAGGACCTAGGACCGTTGGGAAATTCTGAAATCAGAGCGTGGAGGCGCTGTGTCGCCGTCGACGGCCACGTGGAGCGGCAAAGTTCCGCCCAGAGGTTTGTGTCGGCAGTGAGGCAGTGAAGTTGCGACGAAGTTGAGGCGACCGCGGCAAGTGCTGGTCCATCGAGACGCGTCAAGATGTGAGTTCGGAGAACATCTGGATGGATATCGGTAACAGACGTAGTAGCGGCGTCACCGTCACCGGAGGAGAACGCCGACGACGCCAACGGGGAAGAGGTCCGATATAGCTCCGGGCCTGAAATCCCAATGGTACAAAATGACATTTTCTAGAAAATTTTGGGTTTTGATCCCTTTGAAGAGGGAAAGTAAGCTATTTATATTCAAACAGCACGCAACAAAAGAAATTTCCAAACAAAAATAATAATTGTAATTTGATTCATTTTTTTCGGTATTTTTAACGAAAATAAATAAATATATTGTCCATATCACTACGTGGCATATATCCGTCAATATTTCTTTGTATTTAATACAGTTAGGGTGTGGGTCTACGTCAACTTAAACCGTTGATATATCAATTTTTACAAAAATAACCATAGAAATATTGTCAAAAATAATAAATAAGTTTTTTCAAAATTATAAA